TCCAATACGATGATTCCAATGTCGTTGTTGATTGTTGATTTGTCAAAGTTTTCGTGGAGGATGAAGGTCTTGCTTTTCAAGGTAATCCTGCAGTTATCAGGCTCTAGCAAATTGTGGGCACCCAGATACATGGTTGCTGTAACGGCGCTGAAATCAAAATTGTAAAAATGACTCTGTTTTTAACAATTGTTGAAACGGGTATTGGTTAGAAATCTTTTTGACTTACCCTTCTATGCAATGGGCAGCTGTCAGGATGTGTTTTGGAGAAATGAGGGATCCGCCACACAACGACGTCTTAGAATTGGTTGAGATGCTTAAGTAAGCTTGGAATGGAATGGAATGTGGAACAGCTTCTACGCCTTGGGTTATTCTTGATGACACATCCTCAGCAATTTGATCAATTAATGGATCCACATAGAGCCTGTTGAATTCTGCCTCAAAGTCACTCTATAACAAAACAATCAGTATAAAATACAATAAAAAGGAAAGATGTACTTGCCTCGGGTATAGCCCAAGCTGTTGCCAAGAAGAAGATGCACAAGACCGTCGCCTGCATGTTTGAGTATATCCAGCAAACTAAATAGACAGACATTGCTTCGCTTTTATATTTAGAGTACTATTTAATGAGTCAGATAAGGAGGGCTATTTTGAGTTTTTAGTCAAAAATGGGCATGATAATTGCCATCAATCATAGATCTGTTGATATGTCTGCGACATTTTGTATTTCTCAACAAATCTTTAGCTGATACCAAAAAATCTTTGAAGGTAGGATTAAAAATAATAATGGTTGTATTAACGTCATACGAGTTAAAAATATGTTAAACCTTTGAGTTTGCTTTTTTAAATAAACAATAAATATCTATTTAATTCTCTAATCTATATATTTACGTACAATAATAAATGATTAAAACTATTCCAAAGATTCCATGTACAATGAATCACAATGAATCATCATGAAAAAAAGCTAAATTGTTTCTTTTCGCAAAAATGCTATTTCCGAACATTTAGTAGCAATAAATCGAGTCCGAAGAATTGGAATACAATTTAGATATATTTTTTTACCTGATGATATTGCAGCAATCAACTACTGCTGGCTAATGCCCCAATCAGCATTGAATTATACATGCAATACCTAGCAGACAGCTGCGATCGTTCGTCAGCCGTAGCCACCCGACATATACATATTATTTGTTTCTATCAGCGACCTTTGGTGTCTTAACTACAGATATGGAGCTAGATTACTCCTTGATTGTCTCACCTACGGTATACTGATGAGATCTAAGAAATTCGCCCGACTGTTTACTAAATATTACTGGTTTATGTTAATACTGATTGGGGTATTGGTCCGTAGAGTAGTTAGTTCTTGCAACATCATCACTTTGAATATTGTTTTGCCTAGTAGCAGCACAGGTTTTGTTTTCCTAGTACCTTTGAAATAGCAGATCGCTCTCTGCCAGCTTGGCCATTTGAAGACCTAGACACTGAGCAGAAGTGACCATTTGTAGATGTAGCACTTACATCTCACTTATATTTCTTTTTAGTTGCCATTGAATACATACGTTAAAGGATCAGGAAACATTTGAAGAAACTATTAGGGAAAAGTAAAAGCAAAGCTATTTAGATAATAGTTGATAGCCTTAGTATTAGAGAAGGACAATTAAAGCTTTATACATTTTCTCGATTTTACTTAGAAATTTTGTAAATTAGATTTGCTTCATAGAAAGTTGATTGACTTCTTGAAGAAGATAAAAGTATCAAAATGAAAGACTAGTAAGGAATGTAGCAGCCTTAAAATTGATCTGGTAATAACATGTACTAAATGGTTTGCTCCAATGGAAAATCGAGGTAAAAATAAAGTAGTCGTAATGAAAACAACAGTACGAATAATAATAAATAAGTTTATTTTATCAGAGATTTATTTTATGACAAGTTATAAACTCAATCCGGTTTTCTCCTCAATCCAGTCCAGGAAGCTGGTAACTCTGGAGAAGCCAGAAGGATAACCAACAGCACAACCTGTAGCTCCGTAGGAAACGACACCGATCTGAACGTTGTCGTATACTAAAGGACCACCAGAATCTCCCTTGCAAGACCCCACTCCTCCAGTCCCAGAAATGCACAGCATAGAATCTATGACGATGGAATACACTTGCCTGCACTGCGTGTTACTAATAACCGTGCTGTTTACTTCCAGCAGGACCGCTGAGGTTGCCTGGTCACCAGCCACACGGCCCCATCCGCTTAGTTTCACATTTGCACCTAGAGATAGAACACTTTAATGGTACTCCCATAACCACCAAATAGTTTATACACCAACTTACCTACATAGTCTTCTGTTACATCACGAGAAGGCAAGCTTATAACCTTGATGTTTTCGTTGAGTTCCACTTCTGTTTCCAACTCAATCACTCCGATGTCATTGCTGATGTCTGACTTGTTGTAATTTTCGTGACGTATGAGGTGCCGACTTTGTACGATGACCCTGGTGGATTCGGTTTCATGAAGATTGTGACTACCCAAGTATACAGTTGCTGAGATGCCACTAAAACAAAAGAAAACTGTAGATTAAATGTACTATGCTCTTTTGTTAGTTACTATCAGTTTGATAAGCTACTTGGGTTAAAAGGTTCAAGAATTTGGTGTATAATAAAGAAATAGATGATTTGAATATAAGTCTTTTGAGGGAAAATATTGGTAACTAGGTATAAATTAGAATTTGGAAGTAATGAGATGGGAAAATGTTTCGTTATTGCATAAACGGTCTTAAGCTTACCCATCAACGCAATGGCCTGCAGTAAGGATATGCTTTGGAGATATTAAGGATCCACCACACAACCAACTCTTATTTGAACCCGAAACAATTAAGTAGGCCTGGTAGGGAATTGAATGAGGTGAAGCTTCTACTCCATTGGTTATCCTTGACGACAAATCTGGAGGAAGTTTGTTAAATGTTGGGTCAACAGACATAGCTTTAAACTCTGCCTCATCAAGATCCTATAGTGAAGAAGTATTAGGAATCGTTATTCGCATATTTGCAACACATGGAATTAATAATTTTACTTACCGCTGGCAAAGCCAACGCACCAGCAAGGAAGAACAGTACTACCACCTTCATACTTGGATACGTTCAGTGAAATAAAATTAATTAAAAATACCAGGTCCTTTTATATTTGCAATATTTCGAGTAGATAAGATTTTTCTATTTTGTAGTGTTATCAAAATATTCCAAGTATGTTTATTTATTAAGACGGCTGTGAAGTGGTTATCAATCAATTAATTAAAAGTTCGGTATGAGGATTACCAAATGGTTGAACAGTGTTAAGTCGATTTCTAAAAATACACTCTTCTGAGGGTATACGTCGTTCAAAATTTTGAGATTGGTTTCTCTTAAATATCTTATCTTCTTAATAATATCTTAATGCTTTTTGTCTATCTTCTTAATATCTTATTTTAAGGTAAAATCATCATTAGCACAAATTAACAGCCAACATTTTAACTCATCAAAAGAAATAACTTTTATTTGTTTACAATAAATATGGGGGTTGCAGCAGAGGATTGGCTGAGGTTAGGAAGTATGAGCAGTGGAAGCAGATGGATGATATGTCCCCCTGGGATCTTGGGTGAGTATTCAGGAGCAGGAATATACCTGAAAGAAGGTGGTATCCAGGAAAACTTTTTATTGGGTACCTATGTATACCACAGTATTAGCAGAGGTTTTCGCTATTTTGATGGTGACAAGTAAGGAGGGGGTAAGGGACTGTGTAGAAGAGAAAATTTTTATCCGTTCAGGAGTGTTGAGACGCCCTGGGGTTATGGGCCAGATGAAGAGAGGTTGGGTTCCGGTTCATATAGGTATCCCTGGCAACGAGAGGGCAGATCAGTTCGCTGGTCAATGACCTGAACCAGTACTCAGAATTACACAAGGTAGCATTAACGGGTCCTTAATAAATGGGCCTAACAAACATTAGGTCAAAATTGGAGGATGAACAGAGGATGTAGGCAGGTTCATAGCTTCATATATGGGCCTAGTAGATCTAAGACGAGACGGCTGCTGAGCCTTGAATTCATGTCTGAAATGTGGAGAAGGGGATACTCCTATCCATCTTTTGGGACATTTCACAGACTTCGGGAGGATATAAGGGGATGAAGTGAGGAACCTGCCATGGATTACAATCCAGGCGTTCGTCAAGGCATCAGGAAGGTTCGAGAAAGGTCAGAGTCAGACGAAAAGAGCCCACTTATGAGCTATTTGTCAGGCTGAGGCAGCCCACAACCTACTAATGCTGCTACTACTGCTTACGTAAACTTTTATTACCCGACATGGTTAGTTGAGTAAACAGAAATAATAATAAAAAATGGAAATTAGTGCTAATTAAAGCTCGTTAGCGTTATTTTAATGGGACAAAACTTTCTGTTTTCGAGAAAATGTAGTTGGCAAAACTTGTTCCTTTTAATGTATTAAGTACGTGGTTAAAAAGGTGTAGGACACCTTTCTTATCCAGTAACTGCTTTATTCTATAACCTAGAAAACTAAGTTGAGAAAAAGACCTTAGATTAAAATATTTTTATCTCGTAAGACACTACAGATATATTTTTTATTACTACGAAAATAAATCGTTAATCAAAAGCGTGGTATTAAGTGGATGTGCAAATATTAATATACTTACATTCATTATAATGTTATCCTCGACAAATGTTTCAAATGAATTGAACTGATAATGATTAGATCAGATTACTATTATCCGTCTATTCGTTTGTTTTTAATGAAACACGTTTCTCCTCTCATTCGTCTGCTGATGTAACAGATAAATAAAATTGCATTACATACAAACGCAATTTAAACATTTTTTATTCTTAACCGTTGTATATGAATGTATCAATACAGGATGTTATTTAAGTACGTTACCAAATTTCAAGGAGTGATTCTTAGAGTGATTCTAAGACAAAAAGTTTATATAAACATAGATCCGGTAAATTTTTTTTAAAAATGGTTATTTCGTAAACTTAATAATCCTCTAGCCGATTTTGTTGAAATTTGGTAGTGTAATTTATGGTAGAAAGGGGCTAATTTAGCCCTAACTAGATTAAAATTATTAAGTCCAGTGGCATCCTGGGGAGCACCTTAACTAATATTTTTGAAAAAAAAATGTCTCCACTGACTTTTTTAAAATTTTTATAATTTTTTCGCATTAAGCAACTAAAAATACAACTTTTTTGTTTCCTGAATTTTGTTGAAATTTGGCAGTGTTGTTTATGGTAGAAAGGGGCTAATTTACCCTGACCAGATTAAAAAATTTATTAAGTCCACTGTCAACCCTGGGGACACCTTAACCAATATTTTTGAAAAAAAAATTTTTCTCCACTGACTTTTTTAAAATTTTTATAATTTTTTTCGCATTAAGCAACTAAAAATACAACTTTTTTGTCTCTTTAATTTTTTCATATCTTGCTTCCTTTTTGGAGAAAAAAAAATAAAAATCTTTTTATTGCATGGACAACAAAAAAATATATATTAATTAATAAGGCACAAAATTTTTTTTACCTAATATTAATTTTTATAACAATGTCTAAGACTAGAATAGACTATTGATATGGAAAAAATAACAATATTTTTTGATAGTTTTAATGTTTTATTATGTTGTCCCATTTAACGTTTGACCACGTATTTAAATAACACCCTTTATAATATAAATACGTACGGTATCCTGAGGGCACTTTAACCAATATTTTTGACAAAAAAAATGTGCGCCACTGACTTTTTAAAACTAATAAGGCACAAATATTTTATTTACCTAGCATTAATTTTTATAACAATGTCTAAAACTAGAATAAACTATTGATATATTCAAGAGACAAGTTATATTTTTAGTTGCTTAATGCGCAAAAAATTATAAAAGTTTTAAAAAAGTCCAGTGGCGCACTTTTTTTGCCAAAAATATTTGTTAAGGTGCTCCCCACGACGCCACTGATTCAATAATTTTAATCTAGTTAGGGCTAAGTTAGCCTCTTTCTACAACAAACAACAATGCCCAATTTCAACAAAATCGGCTAAAGGATTAATATTTTTAGGAAATAGCGGTTTTTTGAAAAAGTTTGACAGCTGTATCTTGAAAATGAAGTATTACCGGACCTATGTTTATATAAACTTTTCGTCTTAAAATCACTCGTTAATGTTTGGCCACGTACTTAAATAACACCCTGTATAATATATTACACTGTTGTGTAATAATAAATTTAATGATTCAGGAACTCAAATTTCCTAACACTAAATCGAATTTCAAAAAAGAGAAAAGTTTTTATTTTTTCTGTTCTGCCATTTTTTTAGGTTATCTTTATTTAAGTTAAGTTCTTGAGCAAAAATATATAAAAATATTAAAAGATTTTTATTTAATCAATACATTAATATAAGTTAAAATCTCAAGTCACTATTCTCCTCGATCCAGTCAAGGTAGCTGGTAACCCTAGTAAAGGCAGAGGGGTAACCAGGGAGACAACCTTTGGCCCCGTAGGAGACGATCCCGATGAGGGCGTTGTTATAAACCAAAGGACCACCAGAATCTCCACGGCAAGATCCTACCCCCCCAATTCCTGAGGTACACACATGGGAGTCAATGACGATGCTGTAGACGGAGCCACATTGGAGGTTACTGATCACAGTGCTGTTCACTTCCAGGAGTACCGGTGAAGTCTCTCCATCTCCAGATACCAGGCCCCAACCGCTCATTCTGGCATTTGCCCCTGGAAGAAAAAAGAAATAGATAGATTGCTTCGTTCTTCAATGCCTTAAAAGAAATAAATGTACCATGTACCAAGATAGAATGCATAGAAGAACTGAATTTTAACAATTTGTTGCATACCAACATAATCATCAGTTTCTCCACGTCGTGGCAAAGCTATTACATTGATTGACCCGTTCAGTTCCACAGGATCATCAAACACAATAAGTCCTATGTCATCGCTAATTTTATCTTCGTTGTAATCTTTGTGACGAATCAAATTCTTGGCTTCTACCAGAATTCTGGTTGGTTCTGACTGCTGAAGATTATGAGCACCAAGGTACACCGCTGCCGAAACGGCACTAAAACCAATAAATAGAAGCTAGAGGCACGTGTTAGAAGAAAAAAGGCGGTTGGTCTGGTGAAGTGTTTAAACTGATACTCACTCATCCACGCAGTGACCAGCTGTCAGCACAAGCGTTGGAGATATCAGAGAGCCTCCGCACAACCACCTGCTACCGGTGGAGCTTGTGATGATCAAATAAGCTTGGTAGGGAATCGAGTGTGGAGCAGCTTCTACTCCGTTGGTTATCCTTGGCAGTAGATCAATGGGAAGTTCGTCAACTGAAGGGTCGACGTACATCCTGTTGTACTGTACTTCATCTTGGCCCTAGATTTAAAAAAATAGTAAGGGTGGAAATGAAAATAATCCTTACGTACCTTGGGAAAAGCCCAAGCTGCTACAGAGAAGAAGATACACAGTACCGCTGCCTTCATGACTGAATTTATTGGAGAAACTAAGATGGTTTGCAAAAAATTGCGGTCCTTTTATATTTAGAACTGTGTTAGATGAGGTGAGATAAGAGATCAGTATTTCGAATTTTTTTATCGGTATATTACGCGTGTAAGATACGATAACTGTAATCAATCAATGGCAAAAAAAGTGTTTGGATTAATTAGAAGGTGATGACTCGCAATATATTCTACATTTTGTAAAAATTAAGTGTTGATTTGATTTTTGTTACTATATCTGTAGAGATGTACTGCTAATAGCCCAGTAAATGAAAAAAAAAAAAAAATGTAAAAAAATTCGTTTCAGATTGAAACTTGGTTTAATCGTTAGTTTAGGCAAAAAGAAATAAAATTTCCCAAAAAGTATCGGTTTAAAACAAGATCATTGTTTAAACAGCATTCTCCAACAGGAGTATTTGCTTTTGTTTATACTTATAGGTTTTCAAAAAACGCTTCAGTTGAGACCTACTAAATTAAAATCCATTAACAATTTAAATAATTGCAAAAAAACAGCGAAATTTGAATTTGATATAAATAGAAGAAAAGAGCATAAATCGTCTCTCAACTGCAGTAAAAGTTGTATTTTGTTACCCTTAAGAAACCCTGAACATTTGGTAAAAAAATATTTATTTGTTTACGAGCTTTTGCATTTGTTTATTAGAAATAGCATTTTTTTTCAATTGCAAAACTGCGGCTGTTAGCGTTATAATAAAGGGCCTTATGGGGGCTCATTTGTTTCGTCTTGACTTATATTTTCAAGATATGCAACTGGAAATTGTAATTTCATAGGCTAACCTCCACAAAAAGGCGTATAAACAAATAGTCCAATTTTTTTATAAGGTTTTTCGTTAATAACTTTGCGAAGAATGAATATTTTTTAAAGCCGCTTTTATATTCGTAATTCTGGTAATTTATCATGAATTTAAAAAAAAATTTTCTAGGATCATTTTTAGTCGAGATGGCGTTTTTTTTAAATTCGTAACTTATTTATTTATAAACAGTAAGACTTGAAATTCCGGGAATAAATCAATCAACCCTTATACTTCATAATAACGGTTGAAAATATCGAAAAAAATGCATTTTGTAGTAATTTTTAACCGTTTAAAAAACGTCCTCGAATACATTTTTACACCTGAAATTTGGTAGGGAAAATAAGACAGAAACGTTCAAAAGTGGAAATCGAGACATCAAATCTTAACTGCCCGAAGATTTTGCGATATCTCCGGTAATTGTGGACCAATTTTAACGGTTTTTTATAATCTGGGGTAGCGTATGAAAATAATAACAACTGCACAGTCCATTTGACAGGGTGATGATAGTCCTGGAGAGACGAAACGTTACATATAAAAATTGATTATGCCAGTCGACACAGGGCAAAAAATTGCCATGAGAAAGTGTTCTTTTTTCAGTATCACCTCAAACAAAGCTGAAATGAAACAAAAACGGATTTCCAAAATTTCGGTTTTATTCAAATATTTCGAAAACTAAACATGTTAGCCTTGATTTTTTAGAGGCATAATGTTGGCCCCATGATTATGCAATTTTGCCTCCATTTAAGCTACTTCGTATCTCTTACCGTTTAGCAGTCGTATTGAATGTGAGGAGTAACCTTAAAAACATGAGCCATTTCTCTATCTATGTAGAAAGACCGGACACATAAAAAACAATAAATTTGGTACAGGAAACAACGGTCTTTCAAATGAAACAAAAAAATAAAATAAAATAAAAGATGACCCACATTCCGATTTTTGATGCTGAAGATAGGGTAAAATTTGCATAAATTTTTTTTTGGCATTTTTGCCATCCTCTGCTTTCCTCCTAAATTTTTTAAATTAAGCGCACATAGAGACACTAATGTAGACTACTATTGGGAAAATTATTGCCTGATTTAAATTGCAGCATCTTTAAGTTGTGATTAAAGTATGGTCATTATTTCAGGAACTGATTTTTTTGCTCAACTTTGGCACCAATTTGCAATTTGGGTATGACTACAATTGCTTTTTTATTTGCACGACTGGATGTGGCACAAAAAGTTGTCCTATTCAGCTAAATTTCATCCCTCTTCGTTGATCCTAACTGAAAAAACAAGCAATCAAAGTAGGGGGATTTTGGAGCAGGCGCTTGATCATTGCAAGATGGTCCTCTAGACCAAAGCCTTGTGAACAAAAGCATATTAGAGTCTAATATTTTACCCGGTTTAGTTTAGGATCAAGGGCTATTTCTGTGCAAAATTTCACGAAGATGGTCGTCTAGGAGCATTGGGACAGTTGACATGAATGACCATTTTGTTCGTATAAAAATATAAAGAACCAAAGCATTGCATACAGAACGTAGGGCCACCTACAAAATATGGCAAAATTCTAATAAAATTTGAGTCCCACATCACGATAAGCTCCCATAGACCAAATTTGATCCAAATATCTACTATGTCAAAAAATATTGAGGAAAAACTATTTTTTTTCATCATTGACCCCTATTATTATTAACTTTTGCGTTAAAGTAAGTTGGGTTAGATCCGCCTAATTTGACTACAGAATCCTCCCATTACAGTATGGTCGCTTTGTTAAAAAACACCTTCCATATGGCGTTTCTCTTGTTAACAAGAGACATGGGTAAGGAAACAGCTTTAGGGAAATAAAATATTTATTGAGGTTGTCTGATGTAATCACATTAAACCTAAAATTTTATACCAGTGTTCTCTTCCAACCAGTCCAAGTATCTGTTAACCCTTGTGTATCCAGAGGGGTAATCCCCACTACAGCTACCAGATCCATAAGAAACGATGCCAATTTGAGTGTCACCAACAGTTAAGGGGCCACCAGAATCACCATCGCAGACAGCTTCGCCTTCATTTCCTAGTGTACACAGCTGGGTGTCTATAACGATGCTGTATATTTGCCTGCATTGGACGTTGCTCATAACCGAGACGTTCGCTTCTAGAAGAACCGAAGAAGGTTGTCCCCCTTCAGTGAGACCCCAACCACTCACAGTAGCGTTGTAACCTGAAAGAAGTCATTATTGTACAAGAAGAAGATTAAAACTATCGCATTTTTATCCTTGATTTGCTCTCAGTCTTCCAACAAGTACAAAATCAAAACCAAACTCGAATATTTCACTAATAATCATTACAATGGATAGGAAAATAAATAAATAACCTGTGTAGTCAGTATTAATATTGCTAGGGGCCAAAGCTATCACGTCGATGTATTCATTGAGCTCCACTGGTTCATCCAATACGACAAGACCAATGTCATTGCTGATGTCACTTTCATTGTAGTTGCTATGCACGATAAGATTTTTACTTTCCACTACAGTTTGGGTGGCTTCAGCTGTCCCTCCGACGTCGTGAGCACCAAGGTGTACTAGTGCTCCAGCAGCACTGAAATCAGAGTTTTGTAGAACACAGAGAACATAGCTTCATGCTTATTTACCCAGCTAAGCAATGAGCAGCTGTCAAAATGTGTCTTGGTGAGATGAGGGATCCACCACATTTCCATCCACCGATACCACTGGAGAGAACAATCAAGTAGGCCTGGTACGGCCTGGAGTGCGGCACAGCTTCTTTACCATTGATTATTCTTGGTATCACATCATTGGAAGGGTTTTCTATTAAGGGTTCGACGTACAAGTTTTTGAAAGGAAGGTTATGTTGGACCTACGATAACAAAAAATTTTATTGATCGGCGTTGAATTACACCCACATTATCTATTAAACAGCTAAGATCGTTCGTGAGGAGAACCACCAGACTTGGTTTTAACTATGAGGCATGGTCAGTGTTATTCAACTTCAATAGCACAAAGCAACAGTGTCATTAGTTTAAAACTTTGTTTAGCCTAGTGCGATTCTGGTCTTGCTTGCATACTACCCAAGATTAGCAGGTCACTCTCTGCCAGTTTGGTCGTAGCAGATACCATTAAAATGTAGCACACTTTGTATGCAATATGTCACCGATACATTAATGTCTAAAGACGGAAAAAAATCAATATCTGTACGTACCCTAGGTGAAGCTAATGCTGCAACGAAGAGAGTGATGTACACACACACTGTTTTCATATTGATATAAATCAGTTAAACTGACTGGGTTTCTGAAGGCTGCTAGGTTTTATATGTTACAATGTACCTAGATATATTTTAAGTACGTGTGACTAAAGTTTCCCTCTCAACGAACAAAGTTATCTGTAGTACCTGGTTTCTATATTTACTAGAGTAGTTGTATCTTGTTGAAACAAGGAAAATAACATCATCTGTTTCGGTAGCATCGTTAAGTGTTTTCTTGTAAGAAACTGATTTCGTTTTTAATAAAATTACATTCATTATATCTCTGTTTGCTATATTATATGCATTTAATGTTAAAAAAGAATTAATCATTAAATACCTAAAACTACGTTTAGTACTATGAAGTAGTTTTTAGTTAGATACAAGCATAGATAGAAAATTGATTTTGTAGTTACATTAAATGATATTTACTTCTCTCGTACAGATATATAATTATGATTGAGTATTGTCATAATATACCGCTAGAGATTATGCATTAAACAATTTTCATTTCTAGTCACCGCTTCCTCAAACGCGCTTTGCGAATTTTGTACAAATCTATTTGGCCCTAATGTGTAGTCTCTCAAGAACAGGATATATTTGCTTTGCTAAGTGATGTTTGCCTTTAATTAATGTGGATAAATAATATATTTAAACTAAGAGTTCACATTGAACAATCTGCCGATTCAGCAGATAGTGGTGGAGGTTTATGGAGACGATGGTAGCGACTTATTATGGTGGCGACACACACTGTTTGACATCCTACCATTCAATGTTGGTTTAGGAAAATTTAATTCAACATTTAAACTTGTTTCACTTTAATATCTCGATATAAGAAATGAGTTCTAAGATATTTACTTATTTCAATTACAAAAAAAAAACATTTAAAAGTTGACGTTGGACGAGGTGAAACAATTTAAAACTTACTTAAACATTAAAGAACAAACTGATTCAAAAAATAGTTTTTTAAATAAATCAAGCCGACTGCTTATTGAATATATCGATATTAATCTCAACATATGTATGACAGTGATACTTGAGCGAATTAAATTTCATGTCAAACTGATCATGTCAGTTATACTTTAACGTTTTTCATTTGTCAATCAGTCGTGACAAATTCCATCTTTTTATGAATGCTTGTAATATAATGAAAATCTGGTGCAAAGAGGTTATGGTTACTTTACTTTGTTGCCTACCGCAGACCGTCGCTACCATCTAGCGATCGCACCCAAAACTTTACATGCAGGATCGCCCGCTTAGTAAATTTCACCTAACTGAATGCGCTGTGGTTCTCAGTTACATCATAAGCAAGGTATTTGATAAACTCTTTGTGTGTATCTCGACGATTTTATTAAAGCTTGCATCTAGTTAAAGCCATAGCTGCCATACGAGACTTATGAGCCCGAGCTGTCTAATATTGCATTTAATGCAAATAGATAGGAGCGATGTAATGAGGATACGTATACCCGTAACATGATGAAAAATGGTTATTTTAACTCAATATGACAGGATGGGTGATCAATAAGGCTTCATTTAAAGTTAATTTAGTTCGAGGGTTGTAAGACAGTAAAGATTGTTGTTTTTTCGTTTACGAATAAAGAGAATAGAATATTTAATATTTTCAATCACAATTTATGTATAATGAATGTTCAAAATGTCTGCCTTCGTTCTGTATACATAGATTTACAACGGTTTACATATATAGAATAATAAACATAATAATCTAAGTCTGGAGATCTTGGAGGCCATAAGCGATCGTCATAAAATTCTCTTAGGAACTCCAGAGTTGTGTTAGGTGTGTGTGCTGCTGCCCCATCTTGTTGTCAGTAACTATTGTGCAATTCGTCATCAAGTAGCATTTAAAAATGTCTGCAAAATGTTTTGTCGGTCGGAAATCTAAGAAAACGGAAAGTAATTTTGATCAAATGAAAGTAAATTTTAATATGTTTGGTAACATTTACGTGTGACGTCAGCTTCAATCATTCTGGATCGCTCAGTACAAGTAAAAAAATTTTTGTTCTACTGAAATCGTTTTATTGAAAAAGACCTAAAACACAACAAGTTGGGAACCATGAACTAAACGTACAAAGTAGACTGTATTTATTCGAGAGAACTTGGTATTGCAGAAGGTTAAGCGGACAAATCATTGCCAAGCAAAAAAAATCGGTTCTGCCGGTAATCTGGCTGCGCACTAACCCCAGGAGTTATCGAACATTAAGAAAGATTCAGCGTCTGTGCCGAACCCGACGTTTTACGCGTTGTAAATATGAATTAAGAAGACATAAAGACCCAATAACAGAGCCCGCTGCATATCATTAAGAGGCAAGGCCGTAATAATATACACAATTTACGACTTTTGATCGCGGATTTTACGGTTAAATCACCTGTTCGGGTCCTATTAAGTCCAATTTGTATTCTGGATGGGGAATAAAAGCTCAAATGAAATAAAAATAATACCAAATGGTTTATAAGGGGACACTTCAAAATTTTCTCACACCGAAGTTTTGTTTTAGCATATATTGTTAGTTCTCTAATTTTTATTCTATTGTCAAGGTCATTGAGATTCAAAAAAAAATCTGAAAAATATTATTAGATAATAACAATGTTCTTCGTTACCAGAAATCTAGGAATATAAAATATATTTAATCTCACAGGCAACATTCCTAATTGTTGATATTGCCGGACACAACTACTCTATGGGCTACATGCCATTGAATTATACCAACAATATCTAACAGGTGTGTTGAGTAAAATGTAATTTTAAAACCTCAACATTGCAAGGAGCCATCTTTTTAGAACTGCTGATTTTCATAGAAGATGTTCGATGTACTCACCATTTGCTTGCACACAAGCTTCAGCGCGACGTATCCAATTCGCTCGCACACGTTGCAACATTGCCACGTCCTCTCAAATCGTATTAGAAGCTTCGGCAATGCGATGGATTTTCGATAGTGCAGTGGTGAGTGTTTAGAACGTTACATACACTATTTCGACTGAAACATGCTTCATCTGTAACAAGTATTTGCGGTGTAAATTGAGGATTTCTTGCATGTTCGCAAAAACCTCGACGTAGTGGAAAACCCTCAGGAGTAAGCACTTGAACACGTTGAATATGAAATGGGTACAACTGAGCTTCTGGTAATGTTCGCCACACAACAGGATGCGAAATATTTACTTGCTATGCGATATTTCTGGTGCTACGATGCGGATTTTCTTCTGTGCCATTCTTAAAAACAACTTGGAATTATGGCTATTAAATGTACTCACGAAAAACAGCACAGCAATCACTACAACAATGTATTACAAACTGACTTTCGAATAGAGTCCGGCTTCATAAGGAATCTACAAACTCGTAAAAAGTGTTACAGAATTTTGCCGCGGTAAAATACATGTACTTCAGCTGTTCCAAAACAGTTTTAAACAAATTTTTAATTAGCTTTTTTCTCTATGACCTTAAACTTCCGATACAAATTTGTGTCATCAGTTAAATCAGTTTTTGCTCCTTTTTCACCCCATTAAATTTTTGACATAAGTTCACTAACACCCTGTATATAGTAAGAAAACAAAAGTTTTTTCTAGAAAATTTCGTGGTGTTTTAAATCGCAATCTGATTAGAAACTAGTGAGAAATTTTATTGGCATGTTCATGATTGTGTAAATGGAGTACAGAAAAAAATTGATATCCCCCGTATCTTGGTCGACGGTTCTTCAGCTCTCGACATGGAGCCCTGTTATTCCCGGAGAATTCGAATTTTATCATCCTTGACAAAAAGCAGCCGCCAGGATTGTGGATGTATATTAAAGTCTATTCGAGTAGAGTTGCATTCATAAAAACTCTAAATATGTGTCTGGACTTCGGAAAAAAATAACTGCGCTCTAGTGTTGCGAAGGATTTTACTGTTTCTTGATGTGACTTAAGCCTTTAAGAAGTATTTTTATTAAGTATTGTTTTTCAGAGTGCATTATAAAGTGGGACGTAATTTTAGTTCATCACATTAAATTATAGCTCCTTTACAACACCCATTTCAATCAAACTTAATTTCTAATAATTCCTATTAATACCATTGTCATTTTATTTTACTAACATCCAAGGAACCTCGGATATCGAAGAGAACACGCTTTGTATTGTTTAAAGCAATTCTTCAGAGGGTATTTTTGCTTCTACTATTTTTTGGGTTCTGTATGCACTGTAAAAAGAATTTTGCTCAATAATATATCAATTTATGTTCACACCCGTTTGAGCGAAATATTTACTCTATTAGTATGAGTACAACTAAAATTTTATGAGTGAAACTATTGCAACAGAAGTTATCGAATTTGACTCACATCCGTGTTTCTGCTAACTATCAAGCGAGTGACTTTTGAATCTATTCTGAATATATAAAAGCAATTAAGAGTCGACTTTTTCTCTAAATTTAACTATTGTTGAGTAATTTTTTACTCAGACTTGATTTATATTCTCTTTAAATTTTAATTTAAATATCATTGTATTAAAGTCATAAACTTCTAAGCTGCCACAGTGGTTTCTACACAGATCTACTTTAGACACGATATTTTAGGTCTCGATTAAACGAATTGGTTAATTGATCGGACGAATAGGTTGCCATAACCTATATTGTACGTTACAGATACGTAAGTAATTTAACTATCCGTTTATTTAAACAAATATTAATCGAGATTCAATATATTATTGCTTTTAATTATTGTAATCAAACCACTGCATTCAAACACAATTGTTAACCGGACAAACGGATATTTTTGTTCAGCACTACACACCGTACACCATGCTACGAGATGACCCAATGGGGACGAAGAGAATAGACAAAGACAACACACGACATCCATAGAATGGAGTGGTGTTACTCAAGAATGAGGACATTTACTCCGATTTAGCTACAAGTGCACCAAATACGAGTTTATCTGCAGAACTCATTTAACGGGTACCTATATTTGAGTGAAAGTACTCAGTTTTAGTTTAAATATTATTACAATTGAATAAAATTATCAAAATGCTCAATATTGAGTACCGTATCTTTATTGCTTTTACTCACACTGATTTGTTACACTGTACTGCTAT